AAAAAAAAAAAAAAAAAAATTGTTTTTCCACACCCTCCCACAGCTTCAGTCTGGCTCTTTCTGATGACGTCTTCTCAGCAACGCTAGTCATACTTAAGCGTCTTTATCCTTCCCCTTCCCCTTCTCTGGTCCCTACATTCTTCTGCACCTTTGGCCTTATCTGTGGTTGGGAAGAAGTGGTTTGCTCTCGCCCTTCTCCTACTCTTTATTCCTCTTCCATTCTGTGTTCCACCCCAGAGTTTGACCAAGGTCAGCCATAACTTCACTTGCTAATCTCACATTTCTCAATCCTTACTCTTCATGTTATTTACCCTTGTTGAAAAATACTCTTCCATCAGCATCTGTGACCCAAAACTTTTTTTTTAAAATTTATTCCTAAGATTACTCCACGTCAATCTCTGCTGGTTCCTTCCTCTGTCCAGCCTTAAAATGTACTGGACATTAAGTGTACCCCAGGGCTATGGCCTTACACCTCCTCTCACTCTCCATTTTTTTCTGGCCTATCTCATGCTCTCCGTTGGCATCAGAAATTAGTTAATATGTTGATCCTTTCCAGTTTGCCTGTAACTGAAGCCCAGAGGTATATGTTGTTAATGGAAAAGAAGCCATACTCTGTAAAATCATTTAAAGAGGTTTATTGTTAGCCAAATTTGAGAACTATAACCTGAAGCCATGGCCAAGAATCCTTGAGCAAGTGGACTCTGTGGTGGTATTACAGTTTGATTTTATACATTTCAGGGAGGCAGTAATTACAAATAAAGTCATAATAAATCAGTACATGGTTTGGGTGGGTAGGACATCCCTAAGTTGGGGCCCACAGGTTATAAGCGTGCTTGAAGGTTTTTCAGTAGATGGTTGGCTGAAAGAGTTAAACTCTGTGGAATAGACCAGGAGTCAGTAAAAATGAATCCTTGAGTTAAGATAGGATAGTTAATCAGAGACAAACTACAGGATTTATGCCCAGACTCAAGAGGTTTGTTGTGTATATCAAGGACCTGCAGCTATGTGTTATATAGCTTTGGGCCTGTGATGAGTCACAAAGGACATCTCTAAGAAGGGAAGGGGACGTGATGAGGTAAGTCTAATCTTTCTTACTACTAGCAACTCAGTTTTAGAGGATCCCCTTGGCCAAGAGGGGGGCCAGTCAGTCAGCCTTTAGGGGGAAACCTTAAGATTTTCTTTTAGCTTACAATACCCTGGTACCTGTTGGATGTCCCCTCATCCCAGACTCAAAATCTCCAAAACTACACTCAAAATTTCCCTCTCTTAAATCCATTATTCTTTTTGTATTGCTGGCATCAGTAAGTGGCACCATAACCTATGGGGTTGCCCTAGCTCAAAACTGACACATTATCTTTGATTCCTTCACCCTGTTTTTTTAATCATTGACCCAAGCCTTGTCAGCTCAAACTCCAATATATTTCCTTTATTTATTCACCTTTTTATATTTTGCAATGTCTCCTTTACTATCCTGACATGAAATTCATAAATAATTTAACTTACATATAATATTCATAGGTAATTTAACTTACATACAATAAAATAATTCATATAATGTCCTAACTATAAAGGAGAAAAACAGGGAATTTTGGAAAATAGAAATTTATTGGGAAAAAAATGTATCACAATATATAGGTATATGGGTATGTCTACATGAGATGACATAATTGAGTAGTCAGATTCTGTCATCTACTTATAATGAATGGATCTGGTTTTCGAGAACATAAGATAATATTCAACTGGCTACAGTCAACACTTTTTATTTACATATGACATTTCAAAATAAGGACCAAATACACACACACAAACATATAGCATATTATATATACATATGACATTTATAGCATATATATATACACATATGACATTTCAAAATAAAGACTAAATACACACAAATATAGCGCATATATATATACACACATATATATATGAGTGGACATACAGGTATATATAATATATACATACAGCATGAATGGTGAGCTCAAATGGAGACTAATCAAAATATATTACATTGGTGCCTCAAATATTGGAATATTGTCACTGTTGCTGTAATTTCCTGAAATGCTGCATAACTCTTGGTAAAGAACAAGACAAAATATAACCTTTCCTCATTTTACACAATTCTATTCCTGCAAAATTCAGTGTATATTAAACCATATATAAATTACTTTTGTTTTTATTTGAAAATGGGTTAAATTCTAGGCTCAGATAATTATAAACAAATTTGTTGTTTTTTTATGTTTAAGGTGAAGTCACCTTATATGTTTACTAACAATATCTGACAGTATGTTCAGTGGGGGTATCTTGTTTATTTGTTGTGCAGGTCTCTACCATGGAATTCGGGCAATCTAATATTCATTAAATGCTGAAAGTGTCCCTACTTCGTAATAAGCAAAAATACCTTCTCATTTTCTCAGTGCCCTGCTTCCATTGAGGAGCACTAACTTCATCAATCATGATGTGTCCTCTTGTGGCTGGACTCGCTGCTGTTTTAAAAACCATTTTATTGAGATTTAATTCACATGCTGCAAAATTCTTCCATTTTAAACCTTTTTATTTTGTCATAATTGTAGATTTACATGCAGGCATATTAAATAATAGAAAACCTGTATAGTCTTCACCCTGACTTCCCTAATGTAAAATAGTACAATATCAAAAGGAGGAAATTGACATTGATAGAATCATTCTACCTTATTCAGATTTCAGTGGTTTAAATGCACGCCTTTGGGGGGATGGCTTGTATTTTGTTCACATGTACTGATTTGTGTGACCACCACAGTCAGGACACAGAACGTTTCTAACGACCCTTCATGGGTCTTTTATAACTCCACCTACCTTCTACTTAGGCTGCCTCTTCTTCTTTTTTTTTTTTTTTTGCAATTTTTGGCTGGAGCTGGGTTTGAACCTGCCTCCGCTGATATATGGGGCTAGCGCCCTACTCCTTGAGCCACAGGTGCCACCCTCAGCTGCCTCTTCTTCATCCACTGTACCCTGGAATGTCATACAAATATATATTTCCATGATACAATTTTTTCAAGTAACATTTCCAGTGAGACCTACCTTCCTTCCTCCCTCCCTTCCCCCCTTTTATTATTTATTTATTTATTTATTTTGAGACAGAGTCTTACTATGTTGCCCTCGGTACAGTGCTGTGGCGTCACAGCTCACAACAACTGCAAACTCTTGTGCTTAAGGGATTCTCTTGCCTCAGCCTCCCAAGTAGGTGGGACTACAGGCACCTGCCACAGCACCCGGCAATTTTTTTGTTGCAGTTGTCATTATTGTTTGACAGGCCTGGGCTGGATTGGAGCCTGCCAGCTCCAGTGTATGTGGCTGGAGCCCTAGCTGCTGAGCTATAGGCACTGAGCCATTTCCTTTCTTTTATTGAGACAGAGTCTCAGTCAGTCACCCTGGGGTTGAGTGCTATGGCATCATAGCTCACAGCAACCTCAAACTCTTGAGCTCAAGTGATCCTCTTGCTTCAGCATCCTAAGTAGCTGGGATTACAGGCACCCTCCACAACACCTGGCTAGTTTTCTATTTATAGTAGAGATGGGATCTCATTCTTGCTCATTCTGCTCTCAGAACTCCTGAGCTTAAGCAGTCCACCTGCCTTAGCCTCCCAGAGTGCTAGGATCACAGGCATGAGTGTCTGCACCCAGCCCATTAGTACCTCTATAGATTAGTGTCCTGGGCAATGTCTAGGCTGGTTCATCTTTTTAAAATTACTTTTCATTTTGGAAATAAATCAAGGATACAGAAGGATTGCAAGATAATTGCAATAAACCTTCTTATATAGCTTACCTAGATCTATTATTAATATTTTGCCACATTTGCTTTATCTCTTTATGTAAGTGTATACTACATGTTGTAGTATACAATAATAATAAGATCCTCATTATTTCTTATTCTAATTTTTCTCCCTGAACTACTTCAGAGTAAATTCCAGAGATTATGACTTTCTAGCACTGAATACTTCATCAGGTGTCTCCTACCAACAAAGACAATCTCTCACATAACCATACGTAGTGATCAAATTCAGGAAACTTCATACTGATGTGATACAAT